TATCAGATACTCTTTTTGTCTCTTTTGCCATGCCTTTTAATTGCTCCAAGGCTTTGTAAATTGCGGAGCATCCCGACGCACTCGTGGTGTTTCCCTGGCTGTGGCAGGACCTGCTGCTCTGAGCACAGGGCAGGCGCCAGCAGAGGGGGCTGCCGCTTGCAAAAGATGCAGCAAACCCCATTCGACAGAGGTGATGCCCAAATCTGTGTGTGTCCAAACTGATAGCTGCTTAGGACAGAATCAACAAAGGTACGTGATCCTGCTGAGTCCTGAATTATGATTGCTGTTTTGTTACTAGTTCTGAGGAGACAGCTGCAGAAAAAGGCAAATAGAAGTCAATATTGAGAACAGTTATTTCCCTTATTCCAGTTTAACTTTATAGTTGCTTTTTGTCCTAGTTTTTGCCTTGGCCAGGTGGTAGCTGGGGCTTTAGGGGCAAGTCACTGTGCCATATTCCAAGGTTCAGAGCTTGGCCAGTGGGATGGGATAAGTGCTGAGCTGAGAGCAAAGCAGAGCAGGAGCCATCCAGTCCTGCGACTTGGACATTCCTAGTTCTATCAGAGATCCTTCAAGGTCCTCGAATCGTTCTGGTGGTCGGAAAGCTTTCAGCTATCTGACCTCACCACACATGACTTTTGGGGGCACTGCAAAAGGAAGGTGTGAAGTGCTTACTAGAGAAGGTAAGAACCGTATTGCTAAGATCCAAGTCAGTGCTGGTCCTGTGCCCACTTGGCAGGGTGCTGATCAGTGTGGAAGTTTGGGACAAAAGGCCAGACACACATGCCACTCACTTGCTGAATAATTTGTCTCATCTTCATTTGTACCGTCTACAAAGTGGCTCTGGAATCTTGATGAAATGTGTTCTCTCTAAACCTGTTTCCTGAGTGGGGTGGCATCATTGGATACTACGTTAACCACCTACTTCCCAGACAGAAAGCAGTTCTCCCCTCCAGAGTAACGGTCCTCCCTGTTCACTCGAACTCTCCTGACCCTCCTGAATCTGTCATGAGCTCACAATGAACTCTAGCATTAAAAAGAAATTGGGAAGTCTCTTCATAGCTCCCTGTTACTAAAAACAGCCTTCTGATGCAAACTCTACATGGCTGGGTTGTTATTTTCTTTTTTCTTTCATTTGCCGCTGCAGAAGCATTTATGTGTATATTCCACTGCTTCTGGAAGAGGAGCATTCATGGTGATATGCATATTTGCTTAATGTCTGGTTCTTTTGATTGCGTTTGCGAAATGCGAGATCACTCTCTGTGGGTTTGATTTGATCCTTCTGCGATGACTTGTTGTCAGAACCATTTCAGAAGGAGGTAGGTAGCTGTGCCTGCCTTGCTCCTCTCTGAGCCTGTTCACCTGCTATGCCAAGGAAGGCAACGAACAGCCCATGCAGGAATTATCACCCCGTGCCCTTCAGCATGGTCATTCTCCCCCACTCGGCCTCCTGTTTGATGAAGCCCCCTGGCCTTGGTCTTTTGTCTACTCAAATTGACTCTTTTGTTGCTGCTGTTGTTATTTTAGAAGGCATATAATGTACTTGAGTAAGTCAGTACCATTTAGTACAGCATCACTCTGAATAACAAAATAGAGATTGCAGGGTTTTGCTTTCTGTACATTTAACGCTTCTTTCAAAAAAGCTGTGCTACATTACTAGTGGAACAAGAGATTGTTTATAAGACAGTTGCAATGTAAATAAACTCTTTTAGATGATTTTCTTAAAAAGCTGCCATGCTTAAAATTGCCAAAAACTGTGAAATGAGGAAAAAAAAAACTCTAAAATCTGTCATTATTATTATATTTCTAGATAAGCAATGCAAGGCCCAAGTTTTTCTTTCCATGCCTTTTTGCACGGTTCCCAAACAGACCTTGAGAAAAACAGGTCCTAACCGCACTCCCACACACACTAAATAAATAAATGGGCAGGTAACACTGTTCAATTACTTTAGAACCGGAAATGACATTCACTTGTTAAATACTGAGAGGAAATGTTTTAACATAGAAAACCCACATGTTTTAACATAGAAAACCCACTTCTCAAGAGATTCTGCCTCACATTGTGCTTCCGGGAAAAGACTCGCAGGCAGCTTCAGACTCACAGAGCCTGAAGACTCTGTGAAAGGAAACAGCAGCTGAAAACTCTGTGAGAGGAGAGAGATCTAAGATGCTGAGAGTACAGAGCACCTTCAGCATTTTTCCATCAGCTCTTGAGAAGCAGATGGCCATTCCCTAATTGAAGGGTAGAAAGGAAAATAGTTTTAAAGAGGAAGCCCCTTTTCGTGCTATCCTTGGACTTCTCCCCCCGTGTTTTTCATCCTGCTCGTGATGTTTAATGCCCGCATGTGTAAAACACGGTGCTTGGCTCAACCTCCCGGCCCGGAGCGCCCGCTGCGCCGCCCGGGGCGGGGAGGGAGGCGGCGGCTCGGGAGGGAGCCCGGCCCCAAGGCCAG